AGTTCTCTGTATATTGGGTAACAGTCCTTTATCAGATATGTCTCTTGAAAATATTTCCTCCCATTCTGTGGCTTGTCTCCTCATTCTCTTGATAGTGTATTTCACAGAGCAGGAGTTTTTCGTTTCAGTGAAGTCCAGCTTTTAATTATTTTTTTCAAGGATCATGCCGTTGGTGTTATATCTAAAGATCAATCACCAAATCCGAGGCTGTATAAAATTTCTCCTGTGTTAGCGTCTCGGAGTTTTATAGTTTTATGTTTTACACTCAGGTCTTCATGATCCATTTTTTAGTTAATTTTCTGAATGACTTAAGTTTTATATCTAGATTCTTAAACAAACAAAAAATCATGTTGGTTATTCACGCAACAACCAGAACCAGTTATTCCAGTACCATTTGTTGAAAATACTGTCTTTTCTCCATTGTGGTGCCTTTGCTTCTTTGTCAAAGATTAGTTTACTATATTTGTGTGGGTCTATTTCTGAGCCCTCTCTTCTGCTCCATTGATCTATTTGTCTACTCCTTCACCAATACCACATCATCATGGATACTGAGGCTTTATAGTAAGTCTTAAAGTCAGCTGGTGTCAGTTCTCCAACTTTGTTCTTTTCCTTCAATGTTATGTTGGCTATTCGGGGTCTTTTGCCTCTCCATGTAAACTTAAGGATCAGTTTGTCAGCATCTACAAAATATTTTGCTTGGATTTTGATTGAAGTTGCATTGAATTTATAGATCAAGTTAGAAAGAACTGACATCTTGACAAAGTTGAGCCATCCTATCCGTGAACTTAGAATATGACTCCATATATTTTTAAGTTTAAAGAAAAGTAACATTAGGCAAAGGCAATTTATTTTATCACTTCAAAATAAAAAAGTTTTTTAATTCTATGTATTTACTTTTTAAAAATTTCCCCAGCTAAACATAATTATTTTATATACCAGTTATGTGGTACTAGCTCATCAGAGTTCTTGGAGGCCAGGTCACCCCTTTTCTTTCCTCCAGCAGCACTGGTCTTTTCATATTCAATAATACAAAGGTTCAGCGAAGAAAACAGGGCATTTAAATAGCACAACAAGCTCTGTCTAAATGAACTGTCTCTGTGTCAGGTCTCAACCTCGTTCTCTTCTTCCCCACATGCCTCAGGGCTGTACCAAAACAAGATTTCACTTTACTTTCCTCCTTTCACATTAGGAACTGGTAGATAGTGATAAGACCAGATTACAGTGATTTTGAGATCTAAGCCTAGATCTCCAATCTATCTCTTCAACTTTTGTTCAGGTCACTTGAGGTTGTATATAGTGATGATGGACGGAAGTCTCTCAAGAAAGGGGCAGAGTTCCATTTCCTTAACAGTGCATAGAATTGTCACTTGACCTTATTTCTTGTTCTATATGTGCTGCTATAATTTCTTCCTTTATAGTTTATTTTAACTAGATATGAACAAGATAAAAATTTTAAAGCCAAATTGCAATACTTTCTTTCTGTGCAACTCTTCAGTTGTAGAAGAGTTTTACCCTTAAATCTGCCCTACTCCTAATAGCATACGTTAGTTCTGCTTTCTCATTGGTTCACATTCCTGTGTGAGAAACATTAAGTAAGATTTGCTATGATTTCTGTCAGTGTATAAAGGAGGGCATCCCATCAACAACAATGTGTAACCTGAAAACATTCTTGCTAGTTGATTCTTTGCCTAGTTTCAAGCTGTGTGCTATCAAATATCTGTCCATCCCTTCAAGAAGATCCTCCTTTCTTCCAAGCTCTCTTACTACCTTCTACACACACACACACACACACACACACACACACACACACACACACACACGTACTCATTCCCTTCCTACCATATTAACAGGGTCTATATTTGTGAAAGAATGAATGATAGGTTGGGGAAGGGTTTCTGTTCAGATTCTGCCCCAACTCTCTCTCACTGTTCCAGTCAATCCTAAACCTAAGAAAATACAACATGGGGATACCCCCCAAAAAGCTGAATTTATTTGTTTAAAATTGCATATTTATTCTTACATGTTTAAACTTTACTCACCTTCAAAGTACCCTCCGTTTGATGCAATGCACCTTATCGGGATGCCTTTTTCACTGCTCAGCACAGTTTTTGAACTAATCAGTTTTTATGCCTTTTAGTTCTTCTGCCATTTTGTTTCACCTCCTGCATATCATCAGAACGTTTTCCTTTGAGAACTTTTTTCATCTGGGGAAACAAAAGTCACCCAGGGCAATATCCCATGAATAGGGAGAGTAGGGCGCAGGAATCATGCCATTTTGGGCCAAAAACACACTCAGTGCTGTGTGGACAGATTCATCATAAATCACTCATTGTGAAATGGGCAAATGTATTGAAAGAATCTCAACAACAACAAAAAAATTAACTGAAGCTGAATGTAACCTCTCACAACGCTAGCTGGTACCCAGATGGTAATGGGTTTCCAGAACACTTACCTAGCAGAGGAAGACTGTACTACAAGGGGCCCACCCTCCAAAAATTAATTCTGGTATTTTTTGGGTCCTTCCTTACACTTATTATCATACAGATCATTTCCTTCTCTAAAGGAGGAAATAAATATTTAGAAGGGAAAAACAAGATAATGATGAAATTTTAAGCTTAAAAAAAGTAAATGGACAAAAATATTCATCTTATTTGTTTTCATTTTTTGAGTTATAAATTATAATAGCAACTTGTGATAAATTTTACTAGATTTTTCAGAGAATAAACAAATTGTATATTCCTTACCCCAGTATAGAGTGTCATATAAGGCCAGTAGCAGGAATCAGGGCCCCAGACCGACCTCACTGAGTAACAAAGTTAAGTAGAACCTTGTAGAGAGACAAAAACTTTTTATGTTTAATATTGTCACTTAGAAGGGAGTAAAAAATATTTCTCTTTGACCTGGATCTGGGAAAATAGTGGAAACTTTACATTATAAAATGGTTGTGTCATCCCAGGGCTCATATCCATGATGTGTGCAGAGGGGCTCTGAGGGACTCTGAGGACTTTGGAAATGAACTTGCTGATTAGAGGATACCGTTTTTCTGAGTCACTAATCACACTCATTACCCCACTGTGACTTTGGAGAAGTGTTAGTGAATTCACCACAGAACTGGTGATGTCTCAGCCTTTGGAGAAGCCAATTTCCTTGGCACTTTATATGTCTCTTAAGCCAAATAATGTATTGGTTTGATTAAAATTCGTTCCTGAAGCTTCATTTTTAAAGAAAATGTATTTTGTTGAATTGTGATGAGGTTTTCCTGGCAAGTCAGGCTCCTAGTTTATTTAATAAGTGTATGTGATTCAGAGAGTGACTTGGAATTAGGGGCATCTCGCCAGTCAGGAGTGGAAAAGTTAAGGAAAGTGTCTCTTAAAAAAATTTTCATAACTTTTTATTTGATAAAATGTGAAACTTACAGAAAATATAGTATGCGGGGCAGTGTCATAACCCTTCACCTGTCCCACCAGTTGTTGACATTGCCCCACTCTTCAACTCTTCCTTCCCTCCATCCCTCACCCCAGGCTCCTGACTTCATATATATAATATATATAAATGCATTTTCTTTCTTTTTTCTCTCCCTAGCCATGTGTTTGGGGACAATGCGCTTCATTCCCTTTCAGTGCTTGAGTTTGTATGTCCTAAAGTCAAAGATATTTCCCCCATAACCACAATCCAGTGATAAGGAGGAGGATTGAACATTGATATGATGTTTATCTCATCCACATCCATATTCAGATTGTGTCAGTTTCCCCCCAGTCTTGTCCATTTTAGCCTCCACGCCATCTAGGATTCAAGCCAGGATCATGCATTGTGTTTGGTTGTCATATCTCTTTAAACCTAATTTAAATTATAATACCAAGGATCTCAAAATTGCCTCTAGCTATAATGGCTCTGTAGAAGAATCCTGTAAGGAAGATTTGTAAATTAGATGATGGAGAAGTCCACATTCATAGCTTAAACCAAATCTTCCTGGTACAGACCTGATTTTAAGCTACTGGAAAGGGCGGGAAGACCCCTTTCCTCCTGTGCCCGCCATCGTACAAGGGCATTAAGAATGTGAACTGTGCTGGTCACTGTTCTCTTCCTGTCCTTTGTGAATCAGTGGGCCCTGAGTGTAAGAGACCTGTCCTCTGACTGGGTCCCTCTCCCCACCCCACCACCTCAGCCCATGGCCCTATCCCAGTCGCGTCCTGAGTGCCTCTTCTTTCCTGTCCCCTCAAGTACCCTCTAAATTTCTTCCCCTTCACATTCTGCCATCTCCTCAATCATGTGTTTAAATGAGCTGGGAAATGGATGAGGAGATGTCTCCAAAACTCCAGTTAGAAACTTCTGAAAGCATTTTAAGTGGAAATGTTATTGTGTATGTAATTATGTCCATAGCATAACTCATCCTCCATGGCAGAGACATCCTGGCTTCTAGCCTCTTCTGTGGGTTGTCCTGGTTTCCTTACTACCCACATCACACCATGCTGTGGGAAAAAGCAGCCAAGTTCTACAAAACCTGTCAGGACCCCTTATTTCTAATCAGATTTCACTGCTTCATAATTGACCATGTTTTTCGTGAGCTTACATGGATATAAGGTCTTCTAGATTGATCATGTTCTTCGTGAGTATGTACATATGGATGAAAATCTCCTAATTAACTGAGTTCAACTAGATGGCAAGACAGAACAGCGTTAAAACCCCATAAAGTTAAGAGCATGAAAAACAATCTGTTTTCTCTATGTTTATAAAGGATCCTTTTTGTGTTCCAGTGTTCCAAATACAAAATTGAGAGAACAAAGTCTTTAACCTAAAACTTCAGTGTCGCTAGTGGTGATCTTTCACTCAACCTGGAGGTGGAAGCCAAATCCGTTCCAGATAGAACACTTTGGGCCACCTGTGGACAGTGTTTTACTCCTCTGCTTGCCTGCTTTTTTAACTCGTGGAATGCTGCAAGCTAAAATTCACACCCCTATCATTTCTCTCTCCTGTTTTCTCTTTTGTGCCTTTTTTAACAGCGGGTCACAGAAAGTCGAGAGAGCCAAATGACGATTGAGGAGAGGAAGCACCTCATTACTGTGAGGGAGGAAGCCTGGAAGACAAAGGGCCGGGGAGCGGCCAATGACTCCACCCAGTTCACCGTGGCGGGCAGGATGGTGAAGAAAGGTCTGAGAGTGTGTGAGTGCGCGTGCGCGTGCGTGTGCGTGTGCGTGTGTGTGTGTGTGTGTGTGTGTGTGTGTGTTGTGTACATATGCACATGCAAGGACCTTCACCCGTGGAAGTGATGGTGGTATGTAATGGCTCAATTTTGAAAAAGAAAGAACAAGCAGTTTGTCTTTAACATTTTTAAATTGACTTATGTTCTATCAATGTTTTGGGGGGAGGTTTTGTGAGCTATTCCTATTTCCTATTGTGAGCTATTCCTATTTCTTCATAGATAGTCAGCTAGTGTCATTGTCAATATAAGATGCATAATTCAATTTGTCACTATTTCAGAACTTACCTGCTTGGAATTTGAATGCAATTGTGGGTTTCAAAAGCACTTGCAAAGATGCTAACAGACCTTGATCCGTTCCCATAAATACTTTTAAATTGTTTCCATTTTCTTGTGACCTAACAACCAATTCCCAGTAAGCCTATTGCAGTAAAGAAGTTTATCTCCTCTTCCTTTAAGGTTAATTCCTAGGTTCCTTCCCTTCATACCAGACTTCTCTGACTTACAAAGGCCAATTTCCAAATATGTTTTAATAAATGTCTAAAAGATGTATCCAATTCCAAGAAAGTGTTATTTATGAAATTGACTGACAATCACATGGTTAGTAAAGTCACCAGAGACCTTTGAGTCTTCCATGGGGGTGTTTAGGGCTTTATTTCATATCCTGTAGAACATGGTTAAAATGTGGGGTCCCTTTGTCACCTATAAGCACTTACCTTTGTTTTCTAAGCTATTATTTAAAAGTGGATTTCCCAACTTAGTGGTGTAAGTTTTCACAGTCACTTAGTCTTAGCATATTGTCATCAACTTATAGGTTTAACTTTCCTTTTCTTCAAAACCTTTAGGAATAGTACCTTCTAATAGTACCTAACTCTTCCGAGTAGTACCTAACTCATTGTGGCACATAATAAGTGTTTATAGTGGGAAAGGAAGCCCTGATTGTGATTAACTGAAACCTTAGTGGAAGAATCCTTTCTAGCAAATGTATTCTTACTTCATCTTCAAATTGTCAAAGGATAACAGAAGAGAATTTGCTCTCACAGAATGAGACACCATTTGACTCTTTTCTTCATCAAATCACTGAACTATATGATCATGTTTAAACTACTTCGACATGAGCCCTATTTCTGTATTAACAAAAACATGCCTTTAGATGCAGATTGGTTAAATAGAACTGGAGGTGAGAACTTGATCCAGATCTGAAGTCTTCCAACTTCTAGTCCTGACTTTTACCCTGATGATTTTTTGCTTTGGTTTCTTTTTTCTCTCCCATCTTGAAAATCACAATTTACTTATAAGTGGGCCCTTACTACCAAATACCACTGCCCTTGTCCAAACTGACATCAGAGGAAGTAGATTTGCTCTTAGGCAGGTTTGGAGAATGAATAGTTCCTATTCCTCAGTGGGTGAATTTGCTTTCACATTTTCTTGAATAAATCAAAGATCTTTCTTTAACAAGTGCTATGGCTTGCTCAGGAAATAATTTTTTTACACTTTTTATCTAATGAAAAAACAGTATCCTTTATTTCTAATATTTGTTACCACCTTCTGGGTTATATGTTTCACCTGAGTCATTAGCTTTTTTTAATTTTTGGTAATAATGGCATCTGGCTTATATTCACAGTGGAATAAAATAGCCCCCTAGGACAGCCACACTTCCCATCTCATGGGACCATCAGACAACCAGGAGATACCGCCTCAGTGAGTTTGCAGGAGGCACACTGGTCCTGAAGTTCATCCTTTCACCCCAGAAATCTCTGTTCTCCCCCAGCCTCCTTAGGACTTCCTCTCTTTTGATAGTCCTATCTTCTGTGTAACAGCTAGCACTCCATAAGGTTTCTGTGGCATTCTAGGATTCTCCTGGAGGAAAAGTACTCTAAGCGTACCTTTGACCAAGAGAGATGTGCAGATGTTCCTGAAGAGAGTAGGGAACTGGTTTTTGCATCTAGAATTCATTGAAAAGAGGTATGGATGAGGGCTTCGTTTTATTTAAATTTTGCAATTTAAATCTGTTTGCCCTGTGCCTTTACAAGAATCCTTATCTCTTGCTGGGAAAGAGACATGCCACCTTTGGGAGCTCTTTTGCACAGTGCCACTGCCTGAGTGGTCAGCAGGGGGAGCCCTGGCAGCAGGGTTTGCCAGGCACCTGCCTAGTAGAGGGACAGATTTCGCTGGTTGCTTTGGAAACCAGCCTTCTGAGTCAATCCTGTGTATTAGCTTCAGAGTTAACGACCTGTGTGCTAATGAGCTCTTCTGGTGTCTCTTAAAATCCTTTTAGTGGGCAATGATTTACTGCCCCATCCTGTGATACCAAATTTTAGACTTTTTAAAATTATTGTTCAAGAAAGTTTTCTTTCTCACTGATATAAATCCTTGGAAGGTCTGGTAATTGAAACAGATTTTAAAACATTTATTGACACCATCAAATATGTACATAATGAGACGTGCTTCCAGAATATTACCTAAAACAAGTGTTTAACCACTTATTGGTTTGTTTGTTTTTTTTAATTTTTTTTTTATGCTATGATACTGAGCTCTGCAGCCCACTGAAGGAAGGAGCAGTCATTCATTCATTTATTTGTCCTGGTAAATGACAGTGATTTTCATATTCCCTGGATGTTGTTCTTTTAGGGATGCGTAAAGTGGCAGTGTCATCTAAGGATTTCACGTTTATTACAAATAAGCACAAAGAACATTGACATCTCATTTTCTTTCTTGTAAATGCACTAATTGCCGGGCTCGGTGGCTCAGCCTGTAATCCCACGCCTTGGGAGGCCGAGGTGAGTGAATTGCCTGAGCCCACAGTTTCAAGACCCGCCTGGGCAACTTGGCAAGACCTCATCTCTACAATAAAAATCAAAAAAATTAGCCGGGCATGGTAGCGCATGCATGTAGTTCCAGCGACTTGGAAGGCTGAGGGGGAAAATCACCAGAGCCCAGCAGGTCGAGCCTGCAGTGGCTGGGAGCAGCCACTGCACTCCAGTCTGGGTGACTGAGTGAGACTCCAACTCAAAAAAAAAAAAATGCACTAATTACTTCCCTTTTAAATCCCCCCTCCTTCTGCTAGGGATAAAATCTTTATTCTTTCTCTTTATTAAGTTTTCTTTTTTCTACCAGATGCCTTCTCTAGACTGTAATTTCTTTCCTTCCCTCTCATATGCCCCTTACCATCTGCCCTTTTTAAAGATGCCCACAAATACCTGAAGAAGCATATCGCCATGTATAGCCACCCTGAGGAAGATAAAATCCTTCCACAGCCACAGCCACACATCAGTTCAGATTCTGCTTATCTGAGACTTTCTTTGGAAAGATTTGCTCTCCTGGGGTTATTGTCTGTGACTCCCCCCAAGGCCACCATCCCTCTCTCACCTCGGCCTAGAGCAGAACTCCAGGGCTAGGGGCCAATTGCTGGCTCCTCTGATCCAGCTCATGCTTGACTACCTTCATGGGAGATAGTGCAAATCTCCTCTCTCCTCAGCTACCCCCAGGGGGCCTTCAGAACTCACAGCCCCATTTGTTCAAGTGTGCTCCGATTACCTTGCACATTTGTAATGTGTTTACACATCAGGGACATGTTTTCCCACATCTTCATTGTCCCTTTTGGAATATTGGCTTGTCATCTCGCAAGTCCTTGGAAACAGTAAAATCCTATTGTTTGCAATCATCTCACGTTGTCATGGAACCTGTCAATGGCACATGTGTGTGTACATGCATGTATATTGTACAGTCTCTCCTGGGCCTCACCGAGATCTGTCAACATCCTGGGGGTTTCTGGAGGTGATCCTGAGATGCTCAGTAGCTCCTTTGTTTGTTGTGCAGGTTTGGCATCACCCACTGCCATAACCCCAGTGGCGTCCCCCATCTGCAGTAAGACACGGGGCACTACACCAGTTTCCAAACCCCTGGAAGGTAAGTCACTGCAGGTCCCACAGACCACAGAGTTTCCGATCAGAAGAGGCCTTAGTGATGCCCTCTCACTGGTGATTTCTACTTGCCTAGATATTGAAGCCAGACCAGATATGCAGTTGGAATCAGACCTAAAGTTGGACAGGCTCGAAACCTTTCTGAAAAGGCTGAATAACAAAGGTATGTTCTAGAAGCCAGAAGACTTTGCTCTCAGAAGCTCCAAATCCTAATTCCGATTGCATTTTCTCTTCAGGTAAATTGTCTCCTCTCTGTTGTAGCATTACTGATTCATATTGTAATCATTATCTTTGTTACCTTTCAAAAAATGAAGCTTTAATCAAGATTGGATTCTCAGCCGGGCTCAATGGCTCAGCCTGTAATCTTGCACTTTGGGAGGCTGAGGTGAGTGGATTGCCTGAGCCCGCGGGTTCAAGACCCACCTGGGCAACTTGGCGAGACCTCA